TTAAAAAAACCAAAATTATTAATACAGCCTGTACAAACTTTGCTTGGTCTGCCTTCTTTTTTAAAATTGAAGTATAATTAATATACAGTGTTATTTGTATCTGTATGACTGAACAGTTCTATACATTACTCTCAATGACTCTATTCTCTATGCTCTACTTTTCATCTCTATGACTTATTTATTTTATAACTGGAAGTTTGTACCTCTTAATCCCCTTTATCTCTTTTTCCCATCCCCCTACTTACCTCCTCTCTGGCAGCCACCAGTTCTCTGTATTTAAGAGTCTGGTTTTTTGTTTCTTTGTTCATTTGTTGTATTCCTTATTTTTCACACAGGAGTGGAATCATACAATATTTGTCTTGTCTGGCCTCATCTTATTCCATGCCTCCCTTAACCTAAGGGCCTTTAGCCATATTAACTATTTTTAGCTCCTTGATGGAGCCATGCTTTCTTCCCCTAATAGGACCTGTGTACTTGCTGTTTCCTCTGCTTATTATTGTCTCTCTCCCTGGTTCCATTTTGTGCATAGAAAACTTTTACCTCATATTTTATCTGTGTCATTTCCTAAATAAAACCTTTCTTGACCCTGTCAATCTAGGTAGGGCCTAGATTACATCTTATTTTACCCTGTAGTTCTTTTGAAGCAAGTAATTTTATATTCACTGTGTAATTATTTAATTTTAGATGTAACCTCTGTAGACTATGAATTTCATGAAGGCAGGGGCCATATCTATTTTGTTCACTGCTATACCTAGTAGAGTAGCCTGCTGCTCAGCACATAGTTAGGACTTGAATATTTGTAGCATAAATGAGTGAATGATGGCTTCTTGGAATTACCTCTTGATTAAAAGATTATTGAAAGATTTCAAGATTAACATAATTAGATTTACTGTTTTAGAAAGTTCTGTCATTTAGTGTTTGTGTGAAAGATGAATTGGAAAGACACATCTAAAGATTAGGAGGATAGATCATTGATTATGACCATCTTCTAGCCCTCAGATAGTAGATATAGGCCTGAATAAAGGCAGCAGCATTAATGATAGAGAAGGAGAGATTAAGAGGGAGAACCAACAGGATTTAGCAACTGACTAGATGTAGTTATGGTGAGGCAGAAGGAAAAGTCAGGTCTCAAAGTAAAATACCATATATGAATTAGTATGAAACAGTATTACATAGTAGTTAAGAACAGAGCCTTTGGAGACTTATTATGTAACTTACTAGCTGTACAACCGAACGATTTTGCTTAGTATCTGTTTGTTGAACTCTGTTGATTGTAAATGACTGAATTCATAGAGGTTAAATGAAATAGTATATGTAAAGTGCTTGTATTCATACAGTTTGCTGTGGACTTGAACAAGTCATTTAACCACCCAAACTCAAGTTTCTTCTGATAGAAATAATCTATTTCCTGTTCCCTCTTTGTTGCAGGGTTACTTTGAGAATGTAAAGGCTCTGAAAATTTTAAATTGGTAATCATGGTAGCTAGATATATTAATTATATATTATATATAATATTTATATATATCATGTATATCATCTCTTTCACTTTGTCTTTATTTAAAAAAAATTTTTTTAATGCTTCATTTCTGAGAGAGAGAGAGAGACAGCATGAGCAGGGGAGGGTCAGAGAGAGAGGGAGACACAGACTTTGAAACAGGCTCCAGGCTCTGAGCTAACTATCAGCACAGAGCCCGATGCGGAGCTCAAACCCACGAACTGTGACATCATGACCTGAGCTGAAGTCGGACGCTTAACCAACTGAGCCACCCGGGCGCCCCTTGCTTTGTCTTTAATGTGACCTCATCTCTTGATTAATCTTTGTAAGATGGTTACTTCTTGACCATAAGAACTGGATTAGTGGAATTTACCATACTGGGAACAGCTTTCTGCCCATATGAATCTCTCTGTGATAAATGACTAATGACTTCTTAAGAAAATAAATCTTAACAGGGAGCTAAGGAGATTCTTGTTGTCTAATGTGGAAGGGAGAAGAAAGTAAAATTATCAAGAACCATCCCTGGAAGGTGGACATATGGTGCTGGAGATTGGCCTGGTGAATTTTTGATTGTCTGCTCTGATTTCCTATAGCGGGGGCTGTCCTTATTTTTCTTTTTAAGTCTGTTTATTTATTTTGAGAGAGAGAACGCACACGTGCACACAATCAGGAAGGAGGCAGAGAGAGAGAGGGAGAGAGAAAATTCCAAGCAGTCTCCGTGTTGCCAGTGCAGAGCCTGACATGGGGTCACTCCTATGAACCGTGAGATTGTGACCTGAGCTGAAATCAAGAGCTGGGTGCTCAACTGACTGAGCCATCCAGGTGCCCAAGGGGCCATGCTTACTTTTATGATTGAGTTGTATACTTTGATCTTTCCTGGCTTTTATAGCAAACCAGTAAAACAGCTGGTATGATTATTTTTTTTTTTTTTTTTTTTTTACAAATAGTTTATTGTCAAATTAGTTTCTACATAACACTCAGTGCTCATCCCCAAAGTGCCCTCCTCCATGCCCATCCCCCCCTCCCCCCCACATCCATCAGTCCTCAGTTTTTGTCAGCATTCAAGAGTCTCTCATGGTTTGCCTCTCTCCCTTTCCCCCACCATTTCCGCCCTTCTTCTCCCCCTTGTTCCTCCGTCAAGTTCCTCCTAATCCTCCTATACGTGCAAACATATGATATTTGTCCTTCTCTGCCTGACTTATTTCGCTCAGCATAACACCCTCAAGGTCCATCCATGTTGCTACACATGGCCAGATTTCATTGTTTCTCATTGCCATGTAGTATTCCATGGTATAGATAAACCACATCTTCTTGATCCATTCATCTGTTGATGGACACTTAGGCTCTTTCCATGTTTTAGCTATTGTGGAGAGTGCTGCTATGAACATTGGGGTACATGTGCTCCTATGCCTCAGCATTTCTGTATCCCTTGGGTAAATTCCTAGCAGTGCTATTGCTGGGTCATAAGGGAGTTCTATTGTTAGTTTCCTGAGGAACCTCCACACTGTTTTCCAGAGGGGCTGTACCAGTTTACATTCCCACCAACAGTGTAGGAGGGTGCCCGTTTCTCCACATCCTCGCCAGCATCTAGAGTTCTCTGATTTGCTCATTTTAGCCACTCTGACTGGCGTGAGGTGGTATCTCAGTGTGGTTTTGATTTGTATTTCCCTGATGAGGAGGGATGCTGAGCATCGTTTCATGTGTCTGTTGGCCATCTGGATGTCCTCTTTGGAGAAGTGTCTGTTCATGTCTTCTGCCCATTTCTTCACTGGGTTGTTTGTTTTTCGGGCGTGTAGTTTGGTGAGTTCCTTATAGATTCTGGATATTAACCCTTTATCTGATATGTCATTTGCAACTATCTTTTCCCATTCCGTTGGTTGCCTATTAATTTTCTGGGTTGTTTCCTTGGCTGTGCAGAAGCTTTTAATCTTGATGAGGTCCCAACAGTTTATTTTTGCTCTTGATTCCCTTGCTTTTGGGGATGTGTCAAGTAAGAAGTTGCTGCGGTGGAGGTCAAGGAGGTTGTTTCCTGCTTTCTCCTCTAGGGTGTTGATAGTTTCCTGTCTCACGTTCAGGTCCTTTATCCATTTTGAGTTGATTTTTGTGCATGGTGTGAGAAAATGATCTAGTTTCATTCTTCTGCATGTTGCTGTCCAGTTCTCCCAACACCATCTGTTAAAAAGGCTGTCTTTTTTCCATTGGATATTCTTTCCTGCTTTGTCAAAGATCAGTTGGCTGTATACTTTTGGGTCCACTTCTGAGTTCTCAATTCTGTTCCATTGGTCTATGTGTCTGTTTTTGTGCCAATACCATACTGTCTTGAGGATGACAGCTTTGTAGTAGAGGCTGAAGTCTGGGATGGTGATACCTCCCGTTTTGGTTTTATTTTTCAGTATTACTTTGGCTATTCGGGGTCTTTTGTGGTTCCATACAAATTTTTGGATAGTTTGTTCTAGTTTTGAGAAGTATGCTGGTGCAATTTTGATTGGAATTGCATTGAATGTGTAGAGTGCTTTAGGTAGTAATGACATCTTAACTATATTTATTCTTCCTATCCATGAGCATGGAATGTTTTTCCATTTCTTTGTGTCTTCTTCAATTTCCTTCATAAGTTTTCTATAGTTTTCATCATACAGATCTCTTGTATCCTTGGTTAGGTTTATTCCGAGGTATTTTATGGTTTTTTGTGCAATTGTGAATGGGATCAGTTTCTTGATTTCTCTTTCTGTTGCTTCATTATTGGTGTATAAAAATGCAACCGATTTCTGTACGTTGATTTTGTACCCTGCAACTTGGCTGAATTCTTGGATCAGTTCTAGTAGGCTTCTGGTGGAGTCTGTCGGGTTTTCTATGTAGAGTATCATGTCATCTGCGAAGAGTGAAAGTTTGACTTCCTCTTTGCCAATTCTGATGCCTTTGATTTCCTTTTGGTGTCTGATGGCTGATGCTAGGACTTCCAGCACTATGTTAAACAACAGTGGTGAGAGTGGACATCCCTGTCGTGTTCCTGATCTCAGGGGGAAAGCTCTCAGTTTCTCCCCATTGAGGATGATGTTAACAGCTGGTATGATTATTATTCCATCTATCAGATGAGTAAAAATCAGAAGTTCAAACTTGGAATTCCCCATGTTTGTTTATTTCACCCTGCTATATTGCCTTTCCAAACAAACATAGCAGATGTAATTATCTTTAAATGCCCATGTTATGTGATATTGTGTATAGGAATTTTGTCTAAGGGCAGGTCTTTTTCCCCCACCTGCTGTGTATTTGTTATGTGATCGTGGCTTTTAGTTTCAGCCAACACTTTTACTTTCCTTATTGCTGACAGACATGTCATTTCACTCTTGCTTTTGAATTGAGTCTTAGGCCTGCCTTCCTTAATTGCATTTTCTTTTGAAGTTTTTAGTGTTTTAGTAATACGGTTTCCTATCAGGGTTGATCAATATTGGTTTGCTCTCTTTGTACTGTAATCCTAAATAAATTTAGTATGTTCTTATTTCTGCAGGTTTTCTGTGCTTCCTGCTGTAGCCTGAAATGTAAACTGTTATACATGGATAGAAAGGAAGCTAGAGTATGTGTGATCTGCCATTCAGTGCTAATGAATGGTAAGTATCAAAACAGGTTGAATTCACAGTTACCAAGACAGAACAAGAGAATTCCTATGAAGGCTACTATTTTTTCCTGCCTTTCTCTATAAGTTGCTCACCTTCTCAAAAGTCACAACTGTAATTGAAAATATGGAGCAAATTTCTATGTCTTGAAAATATTATAGCATTTCAAACTCCCTGTGCCTGACTTAAATGATTGTTAAAGTCAGGTAAGTTTTGCAGGAAGAATGGAGGTTCTGGTGGAAATCTGGTGCTGTGTGGCTTTAATGCTTCTGTGGAATGACTGGAATGGGATGGGGGTGGGAAGCTATTGACCACTTAGATGATGAAATATTAAAATTGGGCTGAGGTTTTCCTTTCAAGGGAAGCTATCTCTTTCTAGGTAATACCTTAATATCTTAAGATTTATCCTTATTAACAACTTTTCACTTATCTTGTTAAAAATAAGTATTTTAGCATCTAAGATCAAGTAGAAAAGTGCATTTTTCTATCAAATCTGAATACTACTTAGATTTGTTATAAGGATATTGGTTTTGAATTTAGTTATATGGTAAAAAAAACATAGCCAGGAGAAGGTAAATATAGCTTGTCTAGTGTTCATCTTTTTGGGACTAGAAATGAATCCAAGGGCAGTTTGGTTCAAAATTACCAAAAAAAGAAGTTTTTTTGTAAATAGATACAAGAAAATTGATCAGGCTATAGTATTTTCTCTGTGAGTGTGTCTTTGTATAGTTGCCAGAAGAATTACTAATAAAATTTTGAACTTGGACAAAAGTTGCTGCCTGTGCCAGGGTAGCGTGCCTCCTGGAGGCAGGAATCTATCTGCTCAAGACCCCTCCTGCTCTGTCTGTCTGTGTTGCTCATAGTGATGTTTTCCTGTTGCTGGCTTATTAACTACTGCATGTCAGTTTATCTGATCTGTTCTTATCTCCTGTGATCCACCCAATTTCCTCCCATTTCTGAATTCTTAACAATTTTGATCAAATATTAATTCATTCTCTCTACTCTTAAGGGCCAATTTTTAGATGGTAGTTACTTCACTCAGTTGCTCAGTTGATGATTTTTATTCCTGCTTTCATTTTCGGACATATATCCGCAGAAAAGAGCATGCTGCTTAATTATAGTATCCAATACCTCTTTTATTTGATGAGGTCTTTCAACTTCATAGCTTTTTTTTTTTTTAATTTAACTTGGCATAGCTAAAGATGAAGGAAATGGCAGAGGATTCATATGGAATACTTATTTTTATTAAGCCAAGGATGCCCTTACCAGGGAATCCGAAAGTAATCTACTTTTCCTGGTTTTTCCAGCGTCTTTCCTCTCGCATGGCTTAGCGAAGTCTTTTTCTGAATATTTAATTTGATGCTTTTCAGTGTTCCCTATCCTTTTATCCCTTTCTCCTTTTCTCTTCCTTCCCTCTTTCTGCCAATGCTTTCAAAGGAACTAGCTATTGTTTTTACCCTTGTCCTGAAGTTTGGAGGCAATAAATATTCACAATCTTATGGATCATTCTTTGATATTGAATGATATTTTTTAAAAAGATGCTTTAAAAATTGTGTTTTCCATTCCTGGGCATGTGGTATTATCTGAACTTAGAAGATAAAATTTAGTATCTTTCATTTCTGTAGCTTCTTTCATTCTATTTACTTTAAAGACAGTAGTTGATATGTCAATATTAATAAAATTATAGAATATACAGAATCTTAACACATTTGTAATCAGTCATATTGGTTGATGCCACTTGTATGATATTGGCACCTTTTCACGTTCAAATGGGTCCTGTGCTTCTGAGACACACCAAAGATGTGAATTGGTTGTTTTTGCTGGATACTTTTACACAAGGTAATGATTACACAATAGCAGAATTCACAAAAATGTTGAGATGTGTTCTCTTGAGCCTTAACCTTTAGACTTTTTCAAGTGAGATTTTTATCTCAACTAAGAAGAGCCTAAAAGTCTGTAAATGAAACAAAAAATATCATACAATGGAGTTATGCTATTTTAGTCCCTGATTTTGATTTTTGATAGACCTTTATAAAATGGGTTGAATATTAAACCTGTCCCCCTCTCCTCCCAAATGTCTAAATTGCTATCCCAGTTGCAAATCCTTAGTAAGTTTGATGTTTCACTCCCTCTTAAGGAAATGTATGGTCTCTTTTAAAGAAACCAGGAACCTAGTCATTAATCTCAGACTGACCTACTGTCAGTCTGTATCAGAACTGTCACATAATTCTTATTTGTTGCTTCCAAATAGTTTACTTAACCTAATCGTCTCCTTTATTGAATAAAATCACCTATCTCCTTAGTACTTTCACTAGCTGGAAGAGAGAGTACAAAGAGTGTTAATGAGGAAGAGCCAAATTATTTATCCAGTATTGAGGAGGTCTTGATGTCCATATTTTGCAATCCATTCACATTGATTGTCTGTATTTGCTTTAGCTCAAGCCTGGGAGAACATGATGAGTGCCTCAAGCCAGAGCCCTAACCCTAACAATCCTGCTGAATACTGTTCTACTATCCCTCCCTTGCAGCAAGCTCAGGCCTCAGGAGCCCTGAGCTCTCCACCTCCCACTGTGATGGTACCTGTGGGAGTTTTAAAGCACCCTGGAGCAGAAGGTAGGGAATCATGTGCTCTTCTCTCTCCTTTTCCTCACCAAGTTCCTCTGAAAAGGTGCTGATGTGATTTTACAGCACAAGTCTTTAAAACACTTTAGAGAAGTCCCTTTGGGTGGTTATTAAAGTGGAAGGAACAAGGTGAGAAATGTGTCAAGACTATTTCTGGGCAAGTAAAGAATAATACTGTGTTACCTGATATTTTGGAGGCACCTCTAAAAATATGCCAATACTCTCTCCAACTTAAAGAATGGAGTGATTACACTGCTTATACTTGAAAAGAGGTACAGAATTTGAAGTTGGCCTGTAAAATCCTAGCCTTATGCCTACTTTAATGTTCTTTATAGGAGTTTCTGAAAATGGAGAGTTCTTTCTTTGGACCAGCCCATTTTAGTATTGCTTTTTGAAAACACATTGCTATTTTCTCTTTTCATTTTTAATCTATCCAAGTAAGAATATGAAAATATTGTTAGGTACATAGACTTTTATAAAATCCAGAACTTTCTGATTATATCATACGATAGAAAATTATAGGCTCAACTTATTTTAGTTTATTTATATCTTTATGATTATGTTATTGTCAGATGAAAGACACTTTGTAAGTTTAGGAAATTATCAGTAGTAAAAATAACAATTATGTATTTCCTTATAATGATCTTGTTGGGAAGTTTCCCTTGGTAATTAAAATCAATCTTCTTAATTTTCTGTCTTTTTGTCTAGTAATATTCCCTTTCTCTTGCTAAATAGCCCTACTCCCCTTATGAAGATCAGAGACTTCTGATATTATCATAGTCTTCCCCATTTTCCCCTCTTTTCAGATCATCCCTTAGTCATACTCCTTGTATTTTTATGAATTCAGGCTTTCTTAAAATCTTTATCCTCTTTACTTCATTTATCATTTTTGTTGTTCTTTCCTAAGTCTCTCTTTGTTTTGGCTGTTTGCAATTGATTTCCAGAACTGGATTTAAAGAGATCATTTCATCGGACTTAGTTTTCCAGCTTTTCCCCTATTGCAGACTACTTTGCACTGCCAGATCAGTCTTTTTTCATCTTCTGTTACTTGTTAGCCAGAGATCTGGTCAGTTTGCTTCCCAGTTCTCTTACATATCTGTGCCAACTTTTCCTTTATTTGTAAATAATTCTTCAACATTCTTCAGGGCATCTTTTGACCTTTAAAAACACCATATCACTTTTCCAGATATTTAATTCCCATGGAAACCTCATACTTTTAGGAGATGTGGACATCCATTGCAAGATATTTTTTCCCTGTGATTAATTTATTTCCTAGGCACTTAAACACCTTCCTTAGTTTCTCTATCAGTGAAATGGAACAGAGTAAGTGACATAATCAAAAGTGTACTTATGAACTCTTAATATTTGGAAGCAAGGTGTTTTAAATACTTATGTTTAAGTTACAGAAATAAAGAATATATTTAAACTTGTATCTTATTAGTTTATAAGCACTTTTATACACAGTTACAGTTCTTATATTTATAAGATGCTAAATAGTGATTTCTTTGTACTTCTGGAAATGGTGACCTTCTCTTCTTTGATGTTAGAAACGCTACTAATATCACAGTGATGCCTGTTTTATTTTTCTGGCTCCTCAAGTGGCTCAGCCCAGAGAGCAGAGACGAGTTTGGTTTGCTGATGGGATCTTGCCTAATGGAGAAGTTGCTGATGCAGCCAAATTAACAGTGAATGGAACTTCCTCTGCAGGAACCTTGGCTGTCTCACATGACCCAGTTAAACCAGTAACTACCAGTCCTCTACCAGCAGAGGTAAGAAAACAAAACAGCATCTAAAAGTGAGTACTTAGTTTACTCAGCATTGTGCTCCTTCTGTCTTCCCTTTGTCTAAGTTGAGTGACCTTTCTGTGGAAGCCTATAGGTTTCAGATACAGTTTAGGAGGGTGTGTGTGTGTGTGTGTGTGTGTGTGTGTGTCTAGGAGTAAAGCAAATGTGGCAAAATCAGTTTTTGTTTGCTGTGTATTTGGAAGCTTTTTTGTTTTTTTGTTTTTTTTCAGAAGAAAGATTCTCATGAAGGTTGTTGTCAATGAGCTCAGGCTACTGCTGTAGTTAGAGTTCATGCAGAGGGAATCCTGCCCCCTTTGTACACTGATTTTTAAACAGTATTCCCCAGGTTCTGTGGTGGCCTCTTGGGAGTGCCATGTTGAGGAAGGGCCAGGCCATATAAAGGTGACTAAAGAGTCCCTCTATTCCTTTCTCTTCAACCAAGCATCTCTACTTTTTTCTGTTCTACCTTTTGGTTGCCATGTAGGATTTTTAAAGATTGTATTGTTAAGTAATCTCAACACCCAATGTGGGGCTTGAACTCACAACCCCAAGATCAAGAGTTGCATGCTCTGCCAACTGAGCCAGCCAAGTGCCCCTGATAGGTTTTTAGAACAGAAAGTCTGTTGGAATGAAAGAGGAAGCTCTAGTCTACGGCCATACCACCCTGAACGCGCCCGATCTCGTCTGAATGAAAGAGGAAGCTCTAGTGAATGACTGTTACAAGGAAACAAGATTCAGCTCGTTTTGCAAAATTAAACCAAGTTAGTTATTTTGTCTCTTACATTATTCAACACTCTATTTTAATACTTAGCTGATAAAAAATAGTTATCTGATAAACAAAGAGTTCTATTTTAAGATTAATAATTCTTTTTTTTTTTTTTTTTTTACCAGATAAGTATTGGGATAATAAATATCATTAGGGCCAGACTAGAATATATTTGTCTCATCTTTATGGCCTAGTAGAGTGTGTGCCACTTAATAGGTACTCTACGAAGAAATAAATTCCTTTTCACAGGTGGTATGTAAGTAGAGGCCAAATGACCACTTTCTATGATATTAAAAGGTGGATATATGCACCATTTCCTGTACTAGGCTTTCAAATCAAGTAATAATGGTTTTCAAATCAGATAATAATGGTTTGCCACTAAAATTTTCCAAGTTTCTTCTTATATGATGATGTATTGAGAACATTATTGGGGCGCCTGGGTGGCTTAGTCGGTTAAGCGTCCGACTTTCTCTTAGGTCATGATCTCGCGGTTCGTGGGTTTGAGCCCCGCGTCGGGCTCTGTGCTGACTGCCAGCTCAGAGCCTGGAGCCTGTTTCAGTCTGTGACTCCCTTTCTCTCTGACCCTCCCCTGCTCACGCTGTCTCTCTCTCTCTCTCTCTCTCCTGGAAATAAATAAAACATTAAAAAAAAAATTAAAAAAAAAAACATTATAAAATTTTTAACAAAAACCCACTGAAAAATGATAAAGTCCTAAATTATAGATAGTATAATTTCCTATGTTCATGTCATAGTAAGACATGAACATTTAAAAATTTTTTTTAATGTTTTATTTATTTTTGAGAGATAGAGACAGAGCATGAGCAGGGGAGGGGCAGAAGAGAGAGGGTGATATATACTCCAAAGCAGGCTCCCGGCTCCAAGCTGTCTGTCAGCACAGAACCTGACGCGGGGCTTGAACTCATAAACTGGGAGATTATGACCTGAGCTGAAGTCAGATGCTTAACTGACTGAGCCACCCAGATGCCCCAACATGGACATATTTTTTAAGAAAATAGTTTTAATCTTTATTCAGGTATAAAATCTATATAGCAAAGTACTTAAGGAGCATTACTCTTCAGGAGACAACTTGATGAACTTATAGATATACATACACATGTGCAACCACCACCCAGGTGAAAATACCATTTCCATCACTCTGTCTAGATGGTTCCTTCATGCCCTTTTTATGTCAATACCTGCCTGCTTTTCCCCAGGGTAACCCCATTATCTTGACTTGTATCACCATGGATTAGTTTTGACTGTTCTTAAATTTCACGTAAGTGGAAACTATATTATATATTGTTTTGTGCCTGCCTTCTAGCTTTTTTGTGTTTAGCTGCTCAAACTAATGATTATGAGATTTATCCATGTTGTATGCAACAAAAGTTAATATTTTTTTATTGCTGGGTAGTGTTCCATTGTATGGATATACCACAGATTATCTCTTTTTCCTGTTAATGGACATTTGGATTGTTTCTAGTCTTTTTTTTTTTTTTTTTTTTTTTTTTTTTTTTTTTTTTTTTTGGAGAATATTATTTTAATAGATTTTGAGTATAGNAAGTTAATATTTTTTTATTGCTGGGTAGTGTTCCATTGTATGGATATACCACAGATTATCTCTTTTTCCTGTTAATGGACATTTGGATTGTTTCTATTTTTTTTTTTTTTTTTTTTTTTTTGCTTAAGTTGTATAGAATATGGAGAATATTATTTTAATAGATTTTGAGTATAGCCTATTAAATTGTTAAGTGGATTTAACTCTATCCCAAATGTGTTTTTGCAGCATTATGCTTTATTAAATAGTGTAGTAAATGTGATCTTCATATTAATAAAAAGAAAAATGAACTTGAAGTTTTATTTCATTGCCTAATAAAGAAAACAGTGACTTATTTTAATCTCTGTATTTTATCTATTAATTTTTTTATTGTGGTAAAATATACATAATGTAAAATCTGCCATTTTTATCATTTCTAAGTGTACAAACTAGTGGCACTAAGTCTATTCATTGCTGTACAACCATCACCACTTTTCTCAAAGCTAGTTTTAAAAAGGAATGTAAATGAGACTTTAAGTGGGCCAAATGCTCTGAAGGTTCAGAAATTATGAGATAATATTGAAATTGTGTTTCTGTTGCCACTGCAGTTTTTAAAAAATATTTTCTTTTATGGCAGAGACGACCTGGGTAAAGAAAGCTTTAAGCCAGGCTATAAGGCTTCTTTTCTTATTATTCTGATATCATGATGCCAAAAAGAGAAACTATGTAACTGGAAATATTTTTATGGTATAAGCCCAGTCCTTTGGGAAACCAGCAACAGGTTAATGAGAAATATGTGCTGTTTTTCAAAAAGTATGAATTCCAGTTTTCACTTAAATTCACATTTATGTCCTTGACAATATTCTGCTAAAGTGTTGACCTCTCTCTAATGCTCACTTTGCTGATTTGCTTTCCTAGATGGATATTTCTCTGTTCTCTGGGAGTATAACTCAGGTTGGAAGTCCTGTTGGCAGTGCAATGAACCTAATTCCTGAAGATGGGCTTCCTCCCATTCTCATCTCCACTGGTGTAAAAGGAGGTATGTAGACTTACACATTTAAACAGGGAACCTGGGACACCTTGGTGGCTCAGTCGGTTAATTGTCCAACTCTTGATTTCTGGTCAGGACATGATCTCACAGTTTGTAGGATCAAGTCCCACATTGGGCTCTATGCTGTGCTTGCTTGCACTCTCTCTCTCCCTCTCTCTCAAAATAAATAAATAAACTAAATAACAACAATGACAAAACAAAAAAACCAAAATCATTTAAACAGCATCGTAATGGCAAGGATGCCAGATATTATCTTCTAAGAGAAAATTTGAGTGATAACCAACCTTTTTCTTTTCCAACAAAGAAAACAACTACTCAGTGCCGTGAAGATAATTGTTGCTATTACTGATAGTTTTAGAGTAAATTTTATGTTTTTATATTATAAGGTCATTTCATTTGTTGGGAAGATATATAAATGTAGTTCATTGGTACTTTTTTCTCTATATTTCAAAGCACATAATACTATGAAGAGTTGCTTATGGTTCTAGGATTGGCCCACTTGATACAGTCAGGACATTAATGTAACTTTTTGTCTTACAGTATAATATACATTCAGAAATGTACATTAGAATAAGCAGAGACCACTGAACTTACGTAGCAATTTTGTTGTTAAAAAAATATTTTTAGGGATGCCTAGGTGGCTCAGTCGGTTGAGCATCTGACTTCGGCTCAGGTCATGATCTCATGGTTCATGGGTTCGAGCCCCGCGTCAGGCTCTGTGCTGAAGGCTAGCTCAGAGCCTGGAGCCTGTCTTCGGATTCTCTCTCTGATCCTCCCCTGCTCGTGCTGTGTCTCTCTCTCTTTCAAAAATAAATAAAACATTTTTAAAAATTAAAAAAAATATATTTTTAGTGTTCTATTAAGAAATAAAGTTACTGTCCAGTCAAAAGAATACTTATCTTTATGTGAAAGTTTGTTGTTGATAGATCCAGATCAGCATTTAGTTAGTACATTTTTAGGAGATGATTTATCAATAATCTTTCCACAGTTTTGTCCTGGTCTTTTAGCTGGTCTCCTTGCCTTCAATCATTCTCTCCTTTATTTTATCTTCCACACTGTTGCCAATTATCTCTTTAAACATAGATATTATCATATATTGCTCTTGCTTAGAAACATGCAATATTCCCAAATGATTTCAGTATAAATTACTTATTTTAGCATACAATGTTCCATATAACTTTATCTCAACTTATCTTTCTAACTTTATTTCCAGCCAGTACCCTAGCATATTACATGCATACTGCAGATTATTTACTGTTTTTGAATATTCACTTTACACTTCCATGTTTTTCATATGCTGTGGAAGAGTGGGGAGAGAATGGACTGCACAAACCTGAACAAAGAACTAAACAAACCTGAATTCTAGTCCTAGTACCCTTATTTTCTAGCTGTGATCCAGTGGACAGGTCATTTTTCCTTTCTGAATCTTTTTCCTAATCTTAAAAAAAAATAGGTAACTACACCTACTTAAAAGTTATTGTGAGTATTAAATCAGATTTCATACTGGAAGTTATATAGCAAGAACAGTGCCAGGTGCAAATTACACATGTAATTGATGTTTTCCTTATCTTCCTTTGCTCTGCTTAGCGTACCCTTGCATACTGTAGACTCCTTGAAGAACTCAACCTTTCAAAATCCAGATTAATGAAAAAACGCTTCTCTGAATTCTTACCTATGCTACCTCTGTAGTAGTGTTTTTACTTCATCTCCATTTGAATAGAAATTCTTACAGACCTTTACTGTACTAACACTTTTCTTTTTGTAATTTAGATATTTTATATGTCTGATTAGACCATACATTCCTTCAGTTTTAATTTATGCTTCTGTCTTTTCCTACTATGGTGCTGGGCCTGTAGTGGGCTCTCAGCAGTGTTGGCTGAGGGTATTATACTATAAAATACAGTTATGTCCCAGATAGTTCAACAGTGAACTTCCATATAAAGTTGAGCATGTTTTGATTATATAATGCCTTTGGTACTTTACTAGGACCCTCTAGAAATACTCTTTTGGTAGTAAAATTCAAATTTTGGTTATTTTGATGAGTCCTATAAGTTAAATTGTCCTACTCTGTTGTCAAAGTAAATAAAATTGCAAGGTTCCATTTTCATTAAATCTAATTATCAAAACCTCTCCTACTAAGAAACAACAACTAGTTATCTATATTTAATTTAACCATTTTACTGTTTCTTCACCAGAATTTTGCAGTTTTGTATTCCAGTGGAATAACTTCATACAAATATTTTCTTCTTTTTAAAAGTCACTTAGTATTTCTCTTTTCAGTGAATATTTTCATTGGTAGAATCAACATTTCCCCTTATATCCAAAAAAATAGTGTTTTCATTTGTTTTCGCCAGTAGGAAGTGGTACTATTTTGTTCTCCCTGGCTGTCCATAATGGTATATTTTATATAAGACTAATCAAACAACATGCAACTTATAGGTTTTCAATTCCTTCTCTGTATCTTTATATTCTTTTTTTTTTATTTTTTTTTATTTTTTTATTTATTTATAGGAGAGAGAGAGACAGCGTGAGCAGGGGAGGGTCAGAGAGAGAGGGAGTCACAGACTGAAACAGGCTCCAGGCTCCGAGCTGGCAGTCAGCACAGAGCCCGACGCGGGGCTCGAACCCGTGAACCGCGAGATCATGACCTAAGCGAAAGTCGGACGCTTAACCGACTAAGCCACCCAGGCGCCCCTGTATCTTTATATTCTACAATAGTTATTATCTATGATTTTGACTTCAAGCTAGGAAGGCTACTTCATTCAAAATGGGATGGATGAGTATCACATACTATGCTTTCAAGGATTAAATGGGAATGGTTCTGTGCAAGGTCTCAAGTATTAACTTGTCCATGTTTGGAATCTATTGTGTGATTTACTGGTGATTTTGGTGATTGATATATGTACTGAACACTTGATTTAAAGGAAGCATGTCATGACACCAGTCACTTCATGATACTTTTAGTTTATTTTCTGGGTACATTTTTAAAGTTTAATTTTTTTTAAATTAAAAAATAAATTGTTTATTTATTTATTTTGAAGGGGGGAAGGGACAGAAAGCGCGGGAGAGAGAATCCCAAGCAGGCCCTTACTCAGTGTGGAACTTGATGTGGGGCTCGATCTCACTACTACAAGATTACCACCTGAGCCAATATAAATAGACAGTCACTTAACCAACTGAGTCACCTAGGCACTCCTAAAGTTTAATTTTTTAGTGGTAAAAAATCTCAACACTACTAAAGGATATAGAATATCTTTTACCTCAACCCCTCAACATCCTTTCATCCAGAGGTAACTAGAGTATTACCACTTTCTTGTATATCATGGATTATTTCATTTTTTATTTAAATTTTAGTTAACATACAGTACAATACTGGTTTCAGGAGTAGAGCTCAGGGATTCATCACTTATATTCACCCAATACTCCTCACACGTGTCTTCTTTAATACCCATCACCCATCTAGCTCATCTCTTACTCACCTCTCTCTGTCATGGATTATTTTAAATGTTGGCATTAGAACACATAATATGTGAAGTTCTTATTATGATAGTTGGAGAATTTTTGTTACATTAAAGGGCTGTTTTAGACTATGGCATAAACCAGTTTGTGGAGAAGTCTATGCATAGGATAATCATGTTCTCATCCATACTGGATTGGGTCACTTTTGAGAATGAAAGGGACACTGTTTGCATGACACTAAGACAGCAGGTATAAACCTGTTCACCTAACTACAAATCAAATGCTTAACCTTTGCTGTGAATAATCAGACCATTCCTCCATCAGGTTTCTTTCTTGGCTTGTCCCTTTAACTAATCTTTTACATGTATTTTTTGCCCTTACAGACTACGCTGTGGAAGAGAAACCATCGCAGATTTCAGTAATGCAGCAATTAGAGGATGGTGGCCCTGACCCACTTGTATTTGTTTTAAATGCAAATTTGTTGTCAATGGTTAAAATTGTAAATTGTAAGTTAGAAATTTTTTTAAATTAAAATGGGATACTTTACTGACTCATAAATAATAAGTAAAGCTTTCAAATTCATTCCATACAAGTATTTTTATATGAATATATCCAAATCTTACTGAACACTGGGTACTGAAGAAGTTGGTTTGTATAAAATAATATATCCCAGAGGACAACTGTGGGACTAACTGAAACTCTTGAGATGAGATAGGTGAATTCTCCATGGAGGAAAGCCAAACAGAAGTTGAACTGATCTGAGTTAAGTTCTTCCTGAGATGTATGTGCTAAGTCACAACTTACTACCAGAGTAGAGGAGATAGATAAATTATCTTAGGATGGACAAACAGTTTACATGCTAGATTTAAATCTCATAAACCCTAATCGTGTGCAAAGCCTTATTTGAGAGAAATGTTAATTAGTAAAACTTCAGTACATTGTAAGTTAAGATTCAGAAACTTCTCAATTCTTGGGGCTAGCTTCTTGGGCATCAGAATGAGTAAGAAGAGAATAAATTAGAATCTTGACTCTAAGATGGGTGTTGAAAAATAGAGAATGCATTTTTCCTGGATGAATGTTAATAGAGTTTTGGAGGAAGCAGGGAGGCCCTAGGGAACTATCCTGTCATTCTCACTGTGTACTTGTTTTAAGTTGACCTCAGACACCAGAAACACCTATATGCTACTTCCTTTGAGGTTCTTACTTGCTAATTGTTTGGCCAGTTATGAATGCTTGCCCTCTTTCCTTCTAGGGTCAGATTTTAAAATAACTTGCTTGAAATTTCAATTTACCATATCTAGTTTATAACTTAAAAAATAGCTAACCTAGAATTCCCTGAAATATACACCATCTTAATATAGTTGGATTAAGGGCCTCCTGTTTAGGTATATAAAGTAACAATTCCCAAAGTGAAAGAAAGGGATCTATTCATTTTTATATACATTGTGATATCTGTAATTATATTTTAATCCTACTTCAGTTCCTTTGGGGATCCTATTGTGTTGGAGTATAAATGATAAAAGTGTCAAAGATTGAACATTAACTACATATGACTTGTGCTCTTGGTTCTCTACAAAGCCTTAAGGTAAAGAAGTGAAAGTAAGTTGTCCAGAAGAGCCATCCTTTCATCACTTTCACCACTTTTTACAGGATGAAACCAAATAAAATCATGTTGCTGTTTATCTACAATTTTCTCCTCAAAAAGACCTGGCTGGTTTAGTCAGTAGAACATGCAGTTCTTGATCTCGGGGTTATAAAGCTCAAGCCACACATTGGGTGTAGAGATTACTTAAAAATAAAATCTTTAAAAAAATAAAATAAAAAGTTAGAATCTTTCAGTCACATATTAAAATTTAAAAGTATATATAAAAATATATTTTCTTTAGACCACAAGCTGAATCCTAAACTATAATACTGGCTTTTATTGTTGTTGTTTCTAGTTTTACATAAGTAATTATTTCCCTTGGTAGAGTGAGTTTTTTAAAATACAGGGTTGGGGAGTATATTCTTTAATCATTATAGGATACCTAGTTTTGTTTCATTTATTTTATTTTTAATGAAATGTTTTCCTTTAATAATTATACCTTCTGATAATAGGAGTTAAAAGTTTTAAGTGAATTTTCTTTTATTCTTTCCTCTTTTACTTCTCTTCCAGCTTTTCTAAGTATTTGTTTAAAGCCAGAGGAATTGGTATATTTTATTGTCTATAATTATATTTTGGTTCCATGCATTTATAGTTCACAATTGAATTATATGGATTCAGTTTGACGTATATTATTCTTTGCTGTATTATAGCATAGATTTCTGTGCATTTTTTAAAGGAAAAGATTGAGATTTTTATTTTTATATTTTTTATTCCATTCATAGATGTGAACAGGAAGTGCTGGTGTTTCACAACCAAGGGAATGCATGCAGTGGGTCAGTCTGAAATAGTCATTCTTCTGCAGTGTCTACCGGATGAAAAGTGTTTGCCAAAGGATATCTTTAATCATTTTGTGCAGCTTTATCGGGATGCTCTGGCAGGTGGGGATTCTTTATGACTTAGTCTGCACACTTTATTAGATGATAAAACTTTTCGGACTCAGATGCAAAATAACAGTCAATAAATTTGGAAGGCTGGCATTGGACTTTGGTATCAGTGGCAAGTTAGAACTTGCCAAAGTTTAAGGAAATATAAATTTTAGTGCTTTACCTAAAAGCACTATATTATTTTACAAAGACTGGAATCAAAGTTGTACGATAATCCATTGATCATGATGTAAGAATACTTTCCTTTGAGTGGCTTAGGGGTTATGATATTGGTACCTGGTAGAAGCATAATCATAACTTACTATTTGTTTCTTCAGTTAAACAGTACCTATATAATCATAATGTAAATATTCTTTATTTAATTTTCAAGTTTCAAACACGACTAGCATGGACAACTTTATTATGGTTTCAAAATAAATTATAAATATTGTTAACCCTAACAATGTAAAAGTGTATGCATAGCTATTGGAAAAGACTAAGGATTCTAATAGAAAGATATATATACATATTTTTTTTTTGTTTTTTATTTTTTTAAATGTTTTATTTATTTTTGAGAGAGAGAAAAACAGCGTGAGCAGGGGAGGGTCAGAGAGAAAGAGAGAGACACAGAATCTGAAACAGGCTTCAGGCTCTGAGCTGGCAGTAAGCACAGAGTCCGACGCGGGGCTCGAACCCACGAACTGTGAGATCATGACCTGAGCCGAAGTCGGACATTTAACTGACTGAACCACCCAGACGCCCAGAAAGACATATTATTATAAGTTGAGAGAGAAGAAATATGTTTATGTGTAGTATTTGGCATTACAAAGTTAACCTCCCCTGAATTAACAGAGGCAGTAAGAAGTGATGTAGTTGAGCTATAGCCTCATTATCATAACAGGAAGTAAGAAAACAATATCTGTAGTTGGTAAATAGCATATATGAACTACAATGAATAATAGAAGAGATTGTCTCTGAGGAACAAGCCTTGGAAAGGGGAGTGAGGGTGACCAGGGTATTAAAATTACTTTCATGTATTACTTGATAATGTTTTATGAATATATTAAAACCATAAATTATTCATGCTTTCTGAATGCAGTAATTCCCCTTGTGGGATTTTGTGCCAAAAAAATTACCTAAAATGTAAAATACACTTGGTACAGGAAGGTGTTTATTGCAGCATTGCTTAAATTTAACACAAAAATTTAGAGGTAACCTAAATGCTTAGCCATAGGTGAAAGGTTTAACTGTGTTACACTGATTGGATGTATGCATCTTTTTTAGAACGTTTTTTAGCCATTAAAAGTAATATTTATGAATAGAATGTTACAACATGGAAAATGCTCTTGAAGTAAGTACAAAAGCAGGATATAAATTATATCTTTAGTGTGATTATAGCTTATGTATAAAAGATTATACCTTCATGTCTTAGTTTCTGTGATCATTTAGGTGTAATATTACATAAAGACAAAGCAATACATTGGCAACTGACCACCTGCCTATGAAGTATACTTCAGTATTTACTGTGTCAGTCCCAAAATGTATGGGATTAATATGAAGTCAGGTGGAGCCTTCAGGCCATATAATACTTGGGACCTAAATTTATTTCCAAGAATGAATTGAAACACTCACTTTTCTCCTCAATTTGGATATATTCACATGTAAAAACAATAAACAGAGAAATGGCATTGGGGGTCCAAGAAGTTGGGGGTTTTGAGAAGGAATAAGGGACTAAGGCATGGGAGGATCATGAAGGTCTTGTTCCAGAGTCCATCCTTTATTCTTCAGGCAACGAGGAACAATTGGAAAAACATGAGTGACAGAATCAGATTTGCATTTTAGAAAGATGACTTTATTTTTTTATTGTATTTTTTTAAAAGTATTTTTTTTAAATTTATTTCTAGGAGAGAGAGAGAGAGAGACAGCCTGAGCAGGGGAGGGTCAGAGAGAGAGAGAGTCACAGACTCTGAAACAGGCTCCAGGCTCTGAACTAGCAGTCAGCACAGAGCCCGACGTGGGGCTCGAACCCACGAACCGCGAGATCATGACCTAAGCGAAAGTCGGACGCTTAACCGACTAAGCCACCCAGGCGCCCCTAGAAAGATGACTTTTTTTTTTTTAAAGGTTAAGACATTTTTTATTTATTTATTTATTTATTTATTTATTTATTTATTTATTTTTTTAATTTTTAATGTTTTATTTATTTCTAGGAAAGAGAGAGAGACAGCGTGAGCAGGGGAGGGTCAAAGAGAGAGGGAGACACAGTCCGAAATAGGCTCCAGGCTCCGAGCTGGCAGTCAGCACAGAGCCCGACGCGGGGCCCGAACCCACAAACCGTGAGATCATGACCTAAGCGAAAGTCGGACGCTCAACCGACTAAGCCACCCAGGCGCCCCCCTAGAAAGATGACTTTAGAGGCAGTATGAAAATAGATCAAAGTCTATGTGTCTGGTGGCAGGTAAACCGAATTAAGAAGCAGTTAGAATGAATAAGCAAAATACTATAGTGGATAAACACTAAAATACTGCTCAGTAGTAAAGATAATAAACTGCTAATATGTACAACAACATGGATGAATACACAGACATTATGCTGAACAAAAGAAGTCAAGTTAAAAAAGTACATATTACATGATTCCATTCTCATGATTTCTCTGGAACCGGCAAAATGAGTCTGTGGCGATAGAAATTATATCAGCATTTCCTGGGGTGAGTTGGAGGTGAGTTGCAGCTGACTACAGAGGGGCCCTGGGAACTTTCTAAGATTATATAAATACTTATATATTGTTAGGGGTAGTAGTTCTATGAATGTTTACATGTTTACATAGTGTTAGGGGTAGTAGTTAGATGAATATTTGCATTTGGCAAAACTCATTGAACTATATACTTAAAATTGGTGGGTTTTATTGCATGAAATAATATATACCCCAGTAAGATTGACTTAAAAGTTTTTCGTTGTGATATAATTGACTGCAACATTAGTTTCAGATATAAAATATAATGACTCAATATTTGTATTTATTGTGAAATGATCACCACGGTAAGTCTACTTAACATCCATTTTCACACAGTTAAGTTTTTTTCTTACTGATGAAAACTTTTCAGATCTACTCTCTTAGCAGCTTTCAAATATATAATGCAATATAATATTGTTAATTGTAGTTCCCATGCTGCACATACAGCCTCAGTACTAATTTGTAACTGGAATTTTTTACTTTTTGACCACTTTCACTGATTTTACCCACCCTCTCAATCCCCATCTGTCCCCTACCAATCTGTTCTCTATATCTATGAGTACTGTGGGGTTTTTGTTTGTTTGCTTGCTTTAGATTCCACATATAAGTGAAATCATATTTATTTATCTTTACCTTGCTTAGTTTACTTGAAATAATGCTGTCAGGGTCCATCCATGTTGTTGTAAATGACAGGATTTTCTTTTTATAGTTCAATAATATTCCATTGTGTATATGTGAACCACATTTTATCCATTCATCTGTTGATGGACACTTAGGTTGTTTCATGTCTTGGCTATTGTAAATATTGCTGTAATGAACATGGGGGTGCAGATATCAGGTGAGTATTCATGAGTGGAATTGGCTGGATCATATGGTAGTTCTATTTTTTATTTTTGAGGAACTTCTATACTGTTTTCCTTAGTGGCTACACCAATTACATTCCCACCAGTGGTGCATGAGGGTCCCTTTTCTCCATATCCTCACCAACACTTGGTTATTTTTTTAAAAGCTATTGTTAGAATCTAGCAAGAAATTAAGAAATTTTCAAGGTTTAATAAAGTACTTAAGTAATAGCAGTGGGAATAAGGAGTATTGAAAAGATAAAAGATGGTGATGTGTCAGTTCAATAGGATTTGGTAATTAACTGGATGTGGGGGTGAGAGGGGGTAAGTGAGAGTGGCTTCAGATTTCTGGCTTGGGCATCTGACTGGACTTTGTTCTTATTCATCGAGATAATAAATAGAAGAGCAGATTTGGCAGAGGAGTGGAAGATTGGTTTTTTGTTATGTTGAGTTTGAAATACTGACAACAGGTGGTAATATGTAAATGAATGATGAATATATGGATATAGATGGACCTCAGAAAGTAGATCTGGGCTAAAATACAGATTTGGGAGACCCAGTGTTTATGTGATTATTGAAACTATGGTGGTGAATGGGATAGGCCAGTGTGAAGAAACTAGTGCTGAGAATGGAGCTCTGAGGAATACCAACAAGGAAAGGCTGTGGTCGTTGCAGAGTCATTAAAGTACATGTTTACCGTAAGTGGTTACTCATTCTCCAGAAGTATCCTTCTAAATCAGTAGAGTCCATTTTGAACTATCATAGTAAAATGCAAAAACTATACAACAAAAATTACTTTGATAGTAAGATAATAGTGCAAGTCTAAGGTCAGACTATAATACATGTAAGCTGTTTTAAATATTATCTGTAATATAGGATGAGGGCATGCACGTATATATCTAAGTAAATAACATTTCAAAGGCATAAACAAGTGATCTGTAAGTGTCTGTCCTCAAATAGAAATCATTTCGCAGCTCATAAAAACTAGAAGGTATCTTAGATCATCTGGTACAAACTCTTCAGTTTTTAGATGGGGAAAATGAGACATTTTTAGATGAGGAAAATGAGAGGTGTTAATGGCTTGTCTAAATCATAGACCTAGTTGGTGGCAGAATTAGGACTAAGGCTCCCAGACCAGTATGCTTTACATTATGTCAGTTGCCTCTATGTGTATATATTAGTAGTATAGAAGTTTTAAAAAACAGGTATACATCTGTGGTATGCCTGTTTTAAGAATCCTGTTTTTAGATAATCTAAGTAGTAATTTGATACATAATTTCACTGTGTTTTTCTTTAATAAGTGGAAGCATCTTTTACGTGTTCTGAAATGATCCTAGTATTTTTTTCTTTTCTGTGTAACACATTGTGTGGAATTGGCAAATCCTGTCTTAATTTTCTTGAATGTGAAAGCCTTGAATACTCTATCACTTGCATAGTGG